AGATTATATATTAAATTTTAGAATAATTTGTTCCTCAAGATTGCTTTGTCCTTACCGGAGTAGTTTTTTCTTCTTTCAAAAATTCGAAATTTGGTATATTTGGAACGCTTACTTGCTCGTTGGTCTGAAAGGAGACTATTTCTTTTGAACATATTTTCCATTTTACATCAAGTGATTTCTTGTGATTTCTTGTGTTTTCAAGTGTATCGCTGGCAACATAAACCAATGATCCATTAGCGCTCGTGCTAATGGAACGAAGGGAATCAGCAGATCTAAACAGACACTGTGCACAGAGAACACATGTTTTTCATTTCAAAACTTAAACATGGTGTGGTGGTGAGTAAAGAGTGGTCTGTTTGTGGCTCAGCGACAGTGACTGAGGAACCAAGATCAGCAGGTATTATGTGAGTAGCAACGGCCTCCATGGCGGAATACAGGTAATCTCTAACAGATTGTGTCTCAGTCTGCCCTGTGGCTTTGTGGTTTTGGACAGATATAGAACAGGGAAGCGGCGAACAAGGAAGGGTTGTTTTCTCATTGCCTGTGAAGCATCTGCACACCTCAAAGCAAAGCGGAGCTTGTTAGTGTAAATGTAATCTAAGCAAACTAACGGGAAAGGACTCGGGGTGCGTTAATTGTGAATCATGAAGCACATGCCAACTTCAATTATTCATAATAAAAACATACTGTGATGCACCGAGGCAAGGAGCCAAGCAAGTTATGACATTATTTGGACCTGTCGTTATTTTCATATGTGACCGAATGCGCATAATTTTCACTGGAATTAAGACGCCGCAGTCGTTCTTTCCTCCTTTCTCTGCTTTGAGCTGCAGACGGTATCAGCACAGCATGGATGGGATTAGCTGCTTATCATCATGGTGAAGTGAAGCTGTGAGGCTGCAACAACACACAGTCAAGCCCCAAAACTGCCTTGTATGTACAGTGATTAGGGCACTGAATGAGCCTGGGTTCTGCTCTGAGTACAGATGTGTCAGCATCTTTGTAGAGTGGGCAACGCTCTGAATTCCAAGTATGGGGCGCGGTAAAAACAATAGAAAACAAAGTCCAACTGCCCTGTTTGACGCCATGGAAAAGGGAGTTATGGTATTATGTTACTTTGTGAGAGCTTTCCTTACAACTGTGCAGAAATTCAAACCATTTTAAGCCCGTTTTTCTTCCTTGTTTTTGCTAAAGTTGTCCCAAATGCTACATTTGGATGAAAAAAATGAGTGTTTTATACGGCAGTGTGCCAGATATAGTGTGTTTCCTGCTGAGCTAATTAGACATATTTGATTGTAGTCTTTCATGTGCAGGTCTGAACATGCTATTTGGCTGTTTATCCACAGCTGGGTAAGTTAGTGGCTTTTTAATGTAATCATAGCCTTTTGCCAATTGAACAAGTTTATAATCTTTGTGTAAAGAAAAATTAAGCATACAGAGAAAAATTCATAAATCCTTATCCTAAATAAGAACTGTTTTTGGCTTGATATTATTTTAATGAATAATAAAGCAAATGATACCCTTTGAATTAATGTTTCTGTGTGCTCCACTTAGAGATGGACACAACAAAACGATGGAAGAAATTTAGAGAAAAATGAATTTGTATATCTCAAGCTATAATTGTGATTAATTCTATTCTATACGATGCCAACGTGGGTCCTTCAGCCATCCATCATTATAGATTAACGTCCACATCATTCCAATTGAAATATGTATTTATGAATTCAGAACACTTTTGATTTTCACATAATGGCTCTAGAAAATCTGACATTGAGAAATTCTTTGCTGGCAATTTCTCCTGTTGGCTGGCAGCTGGCAGCAAAAACTCCTGTGTAAATGGAGGTGACTTTCCTTTTGCATAAGCTTGTGTTTTGACAGCATCTTGTGTTTTGACGTGTCCCGAGTGTGATGTGAATTTGAATATTATGTGCACACAGACTCCCCTGTCGGGGCAGAAAATGATGTAGAGTGACAGAAATGGTTTTGGTCCACCATTCCCTTTCAAGTTGGCTCTTGAGTTCACAATTCCTTTAGTGAACACATCTTGCAATGCTCATTCAATTGATTTAAAGTTGTCTTAACTCAAACAAAAACTTTGTTTGTTACTTATATAACAGCTTTTACTCAATAAATAAAAATTACTCAATATGGTGTATCATTATATGCATATAATATAATATGTTATATTAATATGATTATAGGATGATGATTACTATATGTGGTACTGTTGATATGACTGCAAACATGTGTTCAACTGTAGTTTGGGCAAGATATGACATCAGTGCCCAAGCAAAAACAAATCTGACTCATTTTGCCGTGACTGACATTTGGAGTAGTTTTCCGTTTAAGCCTTTAATGCTGGAAGCCACCAGCCGTGTGGGCATTCAGAGCAGAAGGATGTATTGACTGCTTCGTGTCCACAGGCCATTTCCTTCTGTTCTGTGTATTGGCACAGGTCAGATAGCAGACATTTCTCTGCGGTTTGGTGGCTTGCTGTTGGCGCTTGAGCACAAAAGGCCTCCACTATCTGAATACGCTTGAAATTTTGATATTTGTTTTTTCCTTTTTATTTATTTATTTATTTATTTTAGGTGGTCCAGTTGAATTGTGCAAAAGTTAATGAAAAATGACCTGAGCTAAAATAATTCAATACATACCGGAAACCTAATAACTGCCTCAAAACACTTCTCTTTGAAACTGAGATGTAATAGACTTCAATATTAACCTTTAATACCAACTGTTTTGATTTCTCTTTAGTTTAAAGGAATGAAAAAAAACAGACTTTCAACATCAGTCCATTTTGTGGCATATTGGGTGGATTATTTGTCGGTATAATTGCACACAGTTTTCTCAGGTGAGTAAAGTAGAAATCTGCAGGTAGTGCGTGTTCCTCGTGCTTCCATCTCCTCTGAAGATTATTTTCGGCTTCCTTGGCTGAGCCCCAGCTGTGCAGGACTTTCAGTCTATCACACATACATAATGGGTGCAAGCAGAGGCAAACATAGACCCACACCTTAGACAGATGTCTGACCGCAGCCTTGAGTTTGTCAAGGGTACAGTCCTTACATCTCAGCATGGTGTTTGATGTCTGAAATGGTACTTTATCAGACTGTTTACTTCACTGGTAAATAATGATGGGGTTTTGCACATCAGATTCCAGTTTAGTGAAAGAATAAAAAATGCAATGCAGTGACAGAGAAGGAAAAATTATGAGAATGAATCTTTCCAAGCACCATTTCTTTCAAGTCATTAAATTTAATTCACCATATTGATAATGATCAGTTCCAGAGAACATGGTGTCTGAAAAACATAAAAAAAGGATTTTACTGGAGGCTTTAGGTTTATGCATGCATTGTGTGAATGACAGCGCGTCCACCTATGGTTAGTTAAAGGTAACAGCTATTTTTTAAGAATCTGAAATCAAATAAATCTGACAGTAGCCTAAAGTTTTGCGGTTGTGTTTTCGACCATGAATTCTCAGAATATCCTTCCTGAGTGCACCCGATATGTACAGACTAGTCCACCAGTTGTCTGCCTCTCAGCCTGTGGCTGCTGCCTCTGTAGATGTGATAAGTCTGTTCAGCAAGACTGTTCCTTTCTGCCCTGTTGGCTTCAGAACATATTGTGAGATTGTCATAAAAAGCATTTACTCTGTTCTTTTTTTTTATTATTGTACAGTGGAAACATTTTATCACAGGAAGAGGTTTGAGAGTCCAAAACACATACTTTTACAATTCAGTGACAATGCCTTTCTGGGGTTAGGGCTCCAGAAAAATATGTTTAAACATAAAAAATCCTTTTACTGTCAGTTAAAGTGGTTCTTTGGCCTTATTTCTATATATTTTTATTTATAAAGCTTAATTTTCTGTGTCAACAAACAGTTATTTGCTATTTGATTGTGGCTCACGCAGTCATCTTACCCTAAGCTGTGTTCAAGGTGTCATAGGAAGCCAGTGATGCTAAATAAAGTTGACAGAAATCCCTTCAGGGAGAACAGGAGGGTAAGCTATCCAGTCACATCAGACCACAAGTTTTTGTAATGGAACAATACTGCTCATATGTGCATGATATTATTAGGTATTTGAAAATAAATCAGCTTAAGAAATACATAAATGTTTCTTCAATTGAGAGAAATAATACCACCGATGCAAAGCATTCTATATAGCAGTTTCAACAAATTTGTCATATTTTGAAACACCCCATTCACGATTAGGTATTCATATTTTAATGCAGATAAACATACTAACAAAGACCAGTTTGGATAGATATCAATTGTATTTGTCACTTCTTGGTGCATTCTGCTTCCCACATTCTGAACACTGAGTCGTCTTTTGAGTAGCTTATATTTGTGGAAATAGAAAAAATGAATAGAAAGAGAGAAAACCAGTTGTCTTATTTTCCCCTCGTTGGTCATTTCTGTTTTGTGTGTTGAGTAATTTTGGCAGCATGCTGCAGAGGATTCCAAACAAACTGTAGTGACTGGAAAACTGCTCCTGAGTCAGATCTACCAGGCTCTATTTTCACATGAAGTCATTTCCCTCTCCTGCTGATTTCCACCTGCTTTGAAATATGTACATTGAAATTTTGCTTCCTCGAGCAACCATATCTTGATCCAGATCAAGCTGTATGTTCATGTAAACAGCTAGTGTATTTCCGCACACATTCTAGGGTATTGTGTTCATTTATATGCTCAAACATGGCCCCAAATCAAAATGTTCATGAGGCAGTTTAGTCGCAAACAACTTTAATTATTCATTTCAAAATAAAAATAGAAGTATGTTGCATACACGCCTGTCATTTCATGCATCAGTATGCTGAAAGAGCAAAAATATAAACAATACTTCCGACATTGGATGGGGATAGAAAAGCAAAACTATAGGCAAGAGGAGAAACTGAAATAACTTCCGTTTCACTCATTCTTTTCTCTAATAGATACTCTATAATCATGTGTTACACCCCAAATGTACGTCTGTGCCCCCTCCTTGACTCTGTGCCATCAGACTGGGGAGACCAGGGGTGGATTGCTACTGTCAGCATGAAAGTGGTGCAGCTGTTCTTCAGCTTCAGTTTCTCATCAATGAGGTAAGCCATAAATATTCAACAATGTTTCCATCAACAATTCCAGAAATGGAATGATAGAATTCATCTTTAATTTGGTTTTGTTACGTATGTAAATGCATTTATCTGAATTCATTTCTATTTGAAGCAACAATTATGAGGCAAATCACAACATATTTCACCTCAGCTGACTTTACATGCTGAGTTTTTCTAACAACAATAAATCCCAGAGGAAAAAAAGGCATATATGTGAATGTGGGCCTTTTTTGGAGTGTTTTACTGATTGTCATCAAGCCTAAAGAGAAAAACTTCAGGTCTGACTCACTGCTCTGCCTTTTTTAATAGCTAAATACCAACTGCTATTAATATCCAGCGGTAAGATATCCAGCAAGTCTAATGCAAATCCTAACAGAATGATCAGCGACTGTCTGCTACAGATAAGAAGCTGACTCCTCATGAGCGCTTTACCAAGGCCCACTTCAAAATAAACATTAACAGAATCCCCTTTAAGCAGTGATAATTAATCATTTAGCTGCAGCAGCACGAGCTCCTTCCATTGTTAATCCACAGGCATTTCCAAATGCTTCTGTTTGGCACTGCCTGTGGTAACAGTAACGCAATCCCGGCAGCTAGAATGGTGGACCATATCAGGGCCAACAAGACGGATTCTGCTGTGATCCACCTCGCCAGGCACGCATCGGAAAACACTGGCCAGGAGTATCAACTGTTCCCTTTACTTAACCCAGACTTTAATGTGCCCCTTTTGCTATGAGGTAATCAATGATATACACTTAATCTGTGAAAGGTCTTGATGCTTTGGCTCATTGGTTTATATGGTGTATGCTTAATGGGGTACATTAGCTAAAAATCAATTTCACTAAGAAGAAGCCTGTCTTAAAGTTTTATTTGCAGAAAAGCTTACATTCACTGGAAAACTTCTCGTGTTTGAAATAAGAAACAATGCAACACTGGAATTTTGAATTGATATACAGCAGTTACGGGTATCAAGTTTTTTTATATATCTGAATGAGCTGAAAGCCAAGGAGCCAAAGCGCTGTATATAAATTCTACCTAATGATTATTACTTACCTAAAAACACATGCCGTTTTTCCTTTTTCATTTTACCACCTGTTACCTTTAGTTATTGACACACCAGTGCTGCTTGGGCTTGAACCGTGTTTTAAAACTTTAAAAGCAGTCTAATGTCCTGTTTTAAGAGTGAGCTAACAAAGTACTGTAGGCGTAGTAGGGGGAAAATGGTTCTCATGTTAGGAAAGGAGCAGAAGCCAGGTCACACGGGTCTCAAACATAAAGCTGCTTCTGTCCTCTTCCCCCTCTTTGATTCTGTGGTAATCTCTCCTCCACCCTCTTTTTGCTTTCACATCTTTCCCCAGTCTATTTCGTTTTAAGCCCACTGGCTCTTTCGGCCCACTTCTCCATCACTCACTGACCTACTTTTGATGTGTCTGTGCCAAATAGAGGTGGATGGTTTTGAAGAGGGCTTCCCGTTTTTGCGACGGGTATCGACTTTGCATGTGGGCGTAGACATGTGCGGAGGTCTAAAGGATCCAAATGTTTGCGGACTAGTGCATCAGCATGCGTGTAGTTAGCATCTGGCGTGTTTCAGCTACGTTATTGTGAAAACACGCATCTGTGTTCAACTTGTGAACCACTCAAACAGTTTTTTGAGCGATGTTTACTTTAGATTTTAGGACCCATACAGAGTCCTTAATGCACACATTAGGAAAATCTATTATTTCTTTCACACAGAGACCACACAACTGAAGTTTAATTTTGAAGATTATTACACGATAATAATATCATAACACGTCAACCTCAAAAGCCTCTCAGTCGCTATTTTCCCGTCAGTGAAGGATGATGATTGTCGGTTTGGGTGTCCCTGAGCACCTGACCATTTGATGATGAGTCAATGATGAGAGCTAATGATGCTTTCATTTCCGAACTTGCCATGTGACTATTTAGCCATTTCAAATCATAATATTTCTTAATATTCATAATGGATTTACTCATCTTTCACTGATAAAAACAAACACAAGAAATGTGGCCAGTAATTATTCATCCATCAATAAGGCACTAGCTACATGAGGTGTATGTTGTTTGGATAGTTTTACCTTCTTCAGAGTAATTGCCCCCCAAAAAATATGTCAACAATAACAACAATAATGCAGCAAGTTAGGGACTTTTTGAGGGGACTAATTGGCTTAAAAGACATTTAGATACTGGTTAATCACGGAACACCTAACGCTCCAAATAATAGTAAGTTAATGGATGGGATATCTAATCATCAGTAAGTTGGTTAAAATTTTGAGAGTGACAATATGATTCCGCCAATTAAAAGAGATAAAGACCAATATTTTCAATCTCATCCAAATGAGCTTTACATAGACACAAATGTGGGCATCTACTCTCCAAAGAATGTCCTTTTTGTGAATGTTTGCTCATGTTCGCAACTTCACAGTCTGTAATGTCTAAACGGAGATTGCTGTTTTTATTTTAAAAAAATAGAGCTAAAATGCATGAAAATGTCATCATTTCCTCTGTACAAGCCCCTTTTAATCCCCTGGAAAGCAATTATATGTAATGATAAAATTGAAATGAACGACACTGAATTGAGAGTGCTCAGTAAGGTAAGATTGGAAAATGAAAAGGAATGGAGGATGTCAGACATTAGAATTTTCTTCACATATCAAGTAATTATCAGCCCATCCCCCGCCGCTCGTATTTAAAATGTATGAGCCGCATCCTGACCTTTTCTCAATTTTGATGTGGGGCAGTACAAAAAACAGGCAGTGAGTGGAAAATGCTCTAATTCCTTTTCTTGATAGTGTATGAAGAACTAGTCAAAATAAACTGAGGGTCATCCTCTTAAATCCTCAGATGACAGCCCCTAATAATTGTATTTTTTACTACACTTTTTCTTGTGGAATGAATTATTTGAGAAATGAGTGTAAAATATTACCAGTATCGGAATGAGTTTGGAAGCAGAAACAGTACTATAAAATCTTGAAGCATATGATTATGTCTGTAATCTAAAGCTAATTCTTCCTGGGCTTTATTTTTCATTTTTTCTCACGTTCATTTAATCCAATGTAGAGGTATTTGTACAACTAAGAACGTGTGAGAACACAAAAGAAAAGTACTTAAAAGTGGAAGCATTGCTAAAATGTATAGTAGCTGAACTGCAGGTAATTCAGAGGTTTTGATTGTGGAAATTGTGCACATTGAAGAAAGTAGGTCTAAATGTGATTCATATAGTACCGTTTAATCACATAGAAATGTCATATGGTTGCATCTTTCAAAAAGGAAGAAAATCTGCTGTTAAAGCAAACAAATAAAGGCAGCAAAGGGGGTATAATAGACTACATCTCAATTGAAATTTAAACAGAATCCCCTCTATTGGTAAAAAATTTAATATTTAAAAAGAGAGGGGGAAAAAATTATGTTGGCTCTCAGATGGCAGCAGATTTGATGGAGCCACCAATTGTCGTTCAGACATTATACGGAATAGAGGTGTGCCGTGTTGTTGTACAGTGTTGTTTGACAGCAGTCACCCCAAACAGATCAAGCAATCTCTATGAGTTTGTCCTGTATTTTTTCCTCGTACGTTTCATTTTGAATTCCAACTTAGACTAAATATGACTCCTACTGTACCCTGTGTACAGGGAAGAAAAATGCATGAGCTCCGATGACATGGGAAATTGAATCAGAATGAGAAACTACAATACATATATAAATATGTGTTTTTTTTGTCTTTGTTCTATAGGGAGCCCTGGTCACAGCCTGCGCAGATGACACGCTACACTTGTGGAACCTGCGTCAGAGGAGGCCGGCTGTGCTGCATTCACTCAAATTCAACAGAGAGAGGTAGACATGGACTCAGCCTGACAAACAACCCACAGGCAAATCCGTGCACACACACAGACACGACACACACAGCGCTCACAAACTCCGAGCTGACTGACAGTCACACGTGTGATTTTCAATTGTTCATACTGATTTGAGTCCCCCAGCCCACGTTTACTTTGGTTTTCTTTCTGTCTCATGGACTCAGCCAACTGGTCACAAGATGTTTTAGCCGAAAAGGCATTGTTTGCTGTTTTAGTGCCGTTGTTCTGTTGAATTGTGGTTATCACACTCACCTAAAGATCATTCCACCTGCCTCCTGTGGTGCATAAAAGGCTTTTGGTTTTTATAACTTTTAGACACTGTGTACTTCAATCATCCCTGGCTGGGAGAAGCTGTTCACCAGGCAAACACATAGTGTGTGATAAATTGGGAATGATACTACCTTGTTCCACACAACTGAATGTGCGTTGGTTTGATTCTGGCTCAGATTTTTTCCCTACCTTCTATCCAAAAGGGGAAAATTCTGCAAAAAAAATGTGTGTCCTTACCTCCCACCTGAAATGAATATATGGAATTTCTTGTGTTTTATGTCATACCTTTCTTCCTCCACAGATGGATAAAGGAGCACTTTTTGCTAAAGTCAATCCACTACTTAAACCACTTTTTCCCCATCAATAAATGCATAAGCAGTGTCCTAATTGTCTCTTTTTTTCATCTTACAGGAACAGCTTTTTTTTTTTATTTACCATAAAACTGTAATATTTAAGACTGAATTCTAAGAATTTCATTAATTCCTTTGTAACTTATAAACAAGATATGACATGTTTTGTGGCACTATGAAACAGGTTTGGATTTTTTTTTCAGGCTCTTTCTACATATTTTTACTTTCTACATAAAGCAGTCTTTTGACTCCAGTGAAATGCTAATTTCTATTCATGTGACATGTTCAAGGACCTCTTTTGATATCACTGCTCCGTGGAACGTAATGGAATATACTTTGAGCCTATGCTTTTGTTCCGAGGACAACTTTTTTTTTCCTATTGCAAAAAGTTTCCACAACCCTTTGAGTGTTACCATTAAACGAAAGAGCAAAGAAATAGAGACTCAGCTTAGAAACTAATCTTTTATATGTGAGATTTTTACTTTATTCAATGCAGCCTCTCAAGTTGGAAACATTAGGCAAATGCTACATCTGAGAACAAGTCACTGTTTTAGAAAAGCAATTGGTAATGAATTTCATTTAATTTTTTGTTAAAAATCCAAATATAAAGAAGTCCTCTTTCTCAGGTTTTTTTTATTTTGCTGCTATGATGAACCATCAATAAATGCACCACAAGAAAGTGCCTACCTGTAAACCTCTAAATAAACTTTGAAACTTTTGAAGCAATTTTAGCCTCATTGCCTAACAGCAATCAACGTGAGATACGTACGATACCTGTAAAAACACAGTTGCCTTCTACCTTTCTTATGACGCAACCAGGTAGGAGGCAGAGCCACTCGCTCACAGCGGAGGAGCAGTGACTCATCCGCTAAGACAAAAAAGGGTTCCATGACTCATCCATCAGAAGCAGAGCTGTGCCTTTTCCATTTAGCTCTGTGTCTCTGGGCCGAGCCTCTGACAATTAACACCCGAGCACCTCATCAGGATCCCATAATGAATGAATAAGGTTGTTTTTGTGACAGCTGTCAGCCAGCAGCTTGTGCCTGTCGCTTGCTGTTGACTGGCGCGCTGTTGTCAAAAGAATTTTAGGACAGTCCGAACAAAAAGCGCTCTGCGACGCGTGGACACATTTGACAGATACTGTGGTGTTCAGCGAATTAAAGGAAGTCATTGGAGCTAATGTAGTCATCATCGAACAACACTTCTGTTCTTTAGTGATACAGTGAGTCATTGCAAGATTCTTTTTGCAGTTGTCATGAGTCATGGAGAGCAAATAGAAAAGGTTGACAATTTCCTGAGTGATGCCACGATTGAATTAATCTGTAGATCTGTTGACTTCATTAAGAATGTTTGTTCCTTGGTTAGTGTTGCAAAGGCTTGTAAAATTCTGCCCCCTTATGTCTTTCTGAACAAGGTATTACATATATAGTGATGATAACTGGTTTTACAGCTACTTGGCAACATGTCCAACATAAACAAGCACAAAAATAGGTGACGACCACAAAAAATGAAGACACTGCTAAACTGGTGTGTTCATACCTCTGATTGCATTCTTGATTTGAACAGCATTGGGAAGTATTTAGCAGAGTTTTCTTGATTTCTCAAAGAAAATGTTAGCAAAGAGTGCAAAAGTTTAAAAAAAAAGAACAAAGGAACAATCCTTTCACGTTTAGTCATTCATGCTCTACAGTTTCCAACCTATCACATTCATTTCACCATTTACATCTACAGATTTTGACAGTGCTGCGTTTGTGACCAAAAGTAAAACAATCACATGTTTTCAAGTATAACTGAATCTTATGAAAGGCAGAAGTCTGCATGAATACATGTTACTGGCCCCTTGACAGACACAATTGTATCATTTTCTGGAAGGCCTTAAAGTCCTTATTGAATTTGCTGCCCTCTTCTTTGTCTTTTATCTAATAATCCTGCTACTTGCAGGTGAGTTGCTCCTTACTTCCTACCTCTATAAGGCCAGTGATTTACTCGGTCCTCATCTTTACACTGTATTTAAGATGACATCAACCAATAACAGATTAATAACTCCTTAAGCAGCTTGTTGTGTTACCAATATTGTTTTCAAACCCCATCATGATTGATGGTACGGAAGATATTGGGGGTAAGAATTAAAAACTTCCGTTACAGTAGAACTCATATATTTGCTGTGTGCAAGCTTTGAGCAAGAAACGTGTAGATAATGAACTTATGGAGGAGAAGCTGGCGACATGAAAAGCAGGAAATGTGAGGGCGGGCAGTAGCACTAATATGCAGGTGTTACATTGAGGAGGCAGACAAGACAGTGTTCTAAATTAATGCTGACAATTAATGAGTCAAGGTATGGCCTCTGAAAATGAATCACGCATCACAGTTGTGAAGAATGGTAATTACGCTCAGAGTATGTCACAAATGTTGCCTTCCATTCCAGACACAGTATTGAAAAACTAAGGTTTGTTTTAATTACCTCATCTTTACTATAATCAAATTACTTAATAGGATATTTCTTCTTTTAGTTTTCTTAATGAAGAAGTTTTGAATGCCTTTACCAAAGCAGCCTTTACAGCATGTTCCGGGGTTGACGTGTAGTCAAGGCAACCAACAAAATGGCTTCCAATAAGATGGCAAACATGATGTAAAAATAATGCTGGCAGGGGATTAGAGTCTTTTTTAAGGATTTGAGCAGATTGGTTGCTTATTTTGATTGAAGGACATTTTGATTGATGGGTGTGTACGTGTGTGTGAGTGTGTGTGTGTCAGTTATTTCTATTTTGAAATTCTTTCCTGTTTCATTCTGCTTGCGTTCCAGAATTATTTTGTTTGCCATGCCTTGTTGACTGGAAAATGTGTGCACAAACTTTGAAAGTAGACACAATTTGGATCAATGTGTGTACAGTGTGTAAGAATGTACTGTACTTATCGAAGCCGGGAACTTACCCTCATTCATTCTTGATGCAAAATCAAGTGGAAACGTCTTTGCAATGTTAACGCTCAGACTCTTTTTGCTTCTTTGTTCTCCAGGATCACATTTTGTCACCTGCCCTTTCAGAGCAAATGGCTGTATGTGGGGACAGAGCGTGGAAACACACACATTGTCAACATTGAGTCCTTCATTTTGTCTGGATATGTCATCATGTGGAACAAGGCAATAGAACTGTGAGTATCCATTTTTGCAAACTCTAAAAAAATAAGAGACGGGAGACATGCACTTTTAGCCAAAAATAACTAGTAGTCAGGTAATATGTTGCCATATTTTGAGGTTTTTTTTTTCACATTCATTCAATAATGCATAAACTGTGTGGCCAGTCTTTGGAAAAAGCACAAGCTGCTGTCAAATACTTTTCCCCAATGCTTTACATGATTATTAATTATTCTAAAAACCTGTCCTTCAATATGAGCCTTTATTCCTTTGACATGAACTTTTGTTTGTGGATGTATGAGTGTGTTGACTCTACAGCTGACATATACAGCAGATTGACAACTTGAAGCACCACCATGTCCACAAATGGTGTTCAGTGGCATTGTGTGCCCATTTTCCTTGGTCTCACCCACCTACACACCACGCTTTTGGTGTCGCCCTGACAAGTTCCTTGCCGCAGTGTCAGTCAGAAAGTCACTCTTTTACCAAACCATCTTGTTGTCTTGTGACAGCCCAAACTATAGTGAGCAGTTTTAACACTGATGTGTATGTGTGGGAGGCCTGTCTGCCAGTCAGTTCAAATGTCTCAGAGGCAACAACTTGTTTTTATAGCACCGACTGGTAAACATGCAAGACTGCTCCTCTTGAGAGCAAATGGTTTAAAATTGTTATTTGCAAATTCATCAAAGAAAGAACCCAGCCAACTAGAAAAACTAACAACATAAAACTGACAGTCGTGTTTGTCTTGCTCTGTTTAAAATTTGCTCATATTTTCTTGGATTTGAATCCGTTGAATTCTCTGAAGCCCTCTCACCATGACCCTTGTATAGTTGTTTTTGTACCCCACTTGAAACCAAGATATCAGATTTTCCAATATTTTTCTTGCCAAAAAATTAAAAAGTGCAACCCAGTAGGCACAAAATGCCAAGGTCACTTTTTAGAGTACTGCAAATGTCACAATATTGAGACAGAAGTTGGCCAGAGAAAAGCTGCCAGTCCACTTAAGAGAATAATTCAAACTCTTAAGGGAAAATTAACCTTTCTAAAAGATCTGATCTTTTGCTGATCTTCACAGTGCAAAAGCAATAGAAAAACATATATAATAAATACAACAGACAGTTCTGAGGCTATAAAACACATGTAAGAGATTGTATATGCTAGAATAATGGACATGGTCTGTAAAACAATAGCAGAACTGAGAACGTAAAACTAAAACCTTTGCTTTTAAGCAGATAACCTAACAAACACCTCATCAGAGGATTTATGTGCTCACTTTATCGTGATTTCTTTGACTATACAGTGTAATTTATTTACCCTTTTCAATATGTCAGAATTGACTTCTCTTAAAGAGAGTTCATGGAAAGTTTCAGCAGAATAGAATGAATATTGTCCTATCAACATCAACATACTGGGGGACTTGAGAAGTGCATTGTTTCTCAGGGAACACTTTCCACACAACATGAATAGGGATGAGAAAAAACTTATTTAGATTATTCTGTGAGCAAAAGAGAAATCATCCACCTAATCAAATAGGTTCAAGCAGCGAGTGTTGCATTTGCACTATTTTGTGGGTTTGAGTCCTCGCAGTTCTCTTTTGTTTGTGTGATACTCATTCACAGTTGCATTAATTTGATACAAATCAAAGGGTGCTCGCGTGAAAAGAATCTGTTACAGCAGCTACGCAGCGATTGCTGGATGGGAAATGTAAAGGCTCGGCTCTCATTGAAATTCAGATGGGTTCGCAACATATTTAATGCCCAACTTCATCTTCGGGAGATGCACACCACAATGAGATCTAAAAATGAGATGCAAAGAGAAATTGGAAAAACACAGCCGCCCAGTGCACACTCTGCTGCAGCTCACAGAGATTCCTGATGAACAGAAGTGTGTTTACTCCACGCGTAACGCAATCGCCGCTGGAATGTTTAACTTTCAGCTTTTAGGACAGCGACTGCCTGATCCAGTTATTTATCATTTTCAAAATGAGGTACCAGGAAAAGAAAGCTTACATGCTACAATGTATCAAATGATAAAGTTTGGTTTATGTCATTTTTATCCCTTCGACACATACAAATCAGGTTACCTACAATCTCTGGTAGCAAATCCCTCTACCTGCTGACTGAGCCTGAGCCATCAGAGAGGTGCCCACCACATGAGTGACAACCCCAGATTTAGGCGAGGTGAAAATATATTTTAAGACTGCCAGGTTGGTAAATTTGTATCCCCCCAAACATAACAAAACCATTTTCAATCTCACAAGTGTAAATATGTCTAACCCCCATTCCCAAATCACCTCTTTTGTATCTCCGTCAGTAAAGATACAGTGACAAATAAATAATAAATGAGAAGCATGCATTAATATTAAGGAGAATTGCTACATAAAATCAGATTTATGATTTTACCACTATGCTGCTTCAAAATTCTTTGTACGGTACTGTGATTCATCATTCCGTTAAACATCTCTTGTTGTAATGCTGTAGACGCTGTAGATGTTTAGTAGGTGTCACACAAAGCTTAAAAAAGATAGTGAGAATATGTGTGATAGATAAGATATGTGATGCCATTTGGATATCTGACTGACTTGCTATTTCCTGCTCAGTTCCCTCCTGTCATGCTGTTGAGCTGATTATTAACCCGTTTCTAATAGTAATGGATTGAACAGCTCCCGCGCAAGCTCAAGATGTCTCTGCATTTGTCTGTGCTCACATGAAAAGCCTTTCCGGATTTACTTACTCATTGATTCATTCGTCCCTTTATTCTCACTTTTCCGACTCGTTCGCTTTCAGAGAATTTTTTTTTAGCCGAGGCATATTTCTTGTCTTTTGTCCACTGAAAAAACCTGAGATATTAGCTCAGCTTCAGATCCCTGAGCCAGGTTCATCCTCAGGATTAAGTAGCGTCATTGCTCCAAAAGCATCAGGACGCCACTACCTTTAATTAATGCTTTTAGACAGACAGATTTGATCATCTATGAATTAAACAATGCCATTACATGACTGCAGAGACAGAATGATCGAATAAGCCGTGCTCTCCTCGCAGCACAGAAAAAAATGGAATCTCAAAATGATCGTGGACGCCACATACTAACACCACATACAAACTTTTTAAATTGTTTTTTGTGGGTTTTGTTTTTATTAGTCAGCCAGCTAGAGTTCCATCATAAGCTCAGACATGTTTTATGCTAGTCTGATTAAGAAAGGACCACTCCTCAGAAGAGGATAAAGGCAGGGATGGATTTATTTTTCACAGATTCACAAGTTTAATATCTCACATTCATCTGTAAAATAACACATGACGACCAAATATTGTTATTTTTTAATAATTTTAAAAGTTATTTGGAATATTCCAAGTTCAACAAGTACAGCAACAGCCATATCAAATTCTTTGCTGTAAATTCAAGCTCTCTTCGGCCATGTAGACAAAGCAAAATTCAAATTTAAATGTACTGTCTCCAAACTTTGAATGATTTTCTTCTATAGGAGCTTCGGCCATGGCCATTTTAAATTCAATAACTGTTGCATTTTTTACCTCTGCGGCAAAAACATTTTTTTCTTTTTCATAAACTCTAACTTTGTGAACTTTGTGTTATCTGAAGCAAGTGCTTCTTTCTCTATATCTGTTTGTGTGCGTGTAGATTTCAAAGTGTGTAACAAAATGTCCAAAGGCAAAAGTACATGTGTGCAATAAATGGGAGTGCACAAATCAGCTCTTTGTTCAGGATGGGTTGTATAACAGGGTTAAACTTTTGGCAGTCACAGTGGTGCAACACTGCTCTAACTGGACAGGTGATGTATATTTCAGAATTAGTTGATGCATTATTTTATTACTCCTTAAAGCGTCGAAAGCTTGCCATGTTTTCATATTTTTATCACACTCCTGCAGCAGGCATAACTAAACGGTTCTATCAGCGCATGTCAGTCACACTTCAGTTCAGATTTCACCTTCATTGTTGAAATACAGATAGTTTTTTTGGCAGGTGCAGTGACTTGTTTTCCTTTCCTGGGGATCAGTTTGGAATTGAAAAAAAATGACAATTTTTAAATGCTACCTCAAAGTACTTATTGTATGAAAGGCTATTATTTGGTTAGGATTTTGGTAATTAAAGGCTAATTACCTAATTATTATATATCTTTCATAATATTAACCTTGGGTTGTTGGATTGCAATGTTGAGTGCAACCAGGTCATGTAAAATTTAAATGACAAAGTCTGTTGTTAGTATAAATCCATTGAAGGACACCTCCTTTGCACACAATAAAAACTAATAAAGTGAATAAATAATATGCAGAATGGGATGAAATTCAATGTGCACTTACTTTCAATCAAGGTTTATTATAAGGATTCCCTTTATTATTGTCAGAGCATGCTCCCTCCACCTGTCCAAAAGCTCTGAAGACATTTCCAACACAATATGAAACAAAAAGCCAATTTTAAGTATTTCCATGGTATTTATTTGTTTCTGTCCCTGTACGGGGGAAATATTTCTAGATGATTGTGTTTTCTTTCTCTTGGTACATCTTTATACCAAGTTTGCTGACAAATAGTTGAAAGAAATGCACTTCCCAATAGATGCAACATGTTGAACATGTCTATTTGTTTGCAGAAAAAGATAACTTATCAAACATCTAAATGTCAGTTGGGAAATTGCACTTATAACAGAAACACTTTTTAAACCGTACAAGCTGTTTTTTAACCCCTCTGACTTGTGTGAATGTGTTCAGTGAGCAATGTTTCCTCTGCACACTGCCGATAAAAGTCTCACTCTGTAGCAGCAACGTTTCTTTCCCTAATGTGTGTGATCTGGATGCTGTTTGTTGGAGTTGAGTAAAAGGTTTGTCTTCTTTTTTTTGTGCTGGAATGGAACAAGCTGTGGTTGTCTTCTTGCACTATTGTTTCACACCGTTACAGTTTATAACAGTGTTTTCCAACCCTATCATCTTTCCTTCTCATCATAGATCAACTAAAACTCACCCAGGACCTGTAGTGCATCTGAGTGACAGCCCAAAGGATGAAGGCAAGGTGAGTGGGCAGATAAATAAGCACCCGAGCCATTTCAGCTCTCTATCCACACAACCTCTAACACTAAAACACTCAGCACGGAGGCTCTCCTCCATCTCTTCTAACAGCAGGTTCTGCATAGAATACATTAAATCCCTGCTTTGGTTTGCCAGTTCTGTGACACTCTACTTTTCAATTAGAGAAAGCAGAAACCAAAGACTTGTGATTCTGCTCAATTTAAAAGAGTTAAGTATTTCAGAGTTAACGTTTGTAAAACTGGAGTGATGAATGATAGGTGGTGAGACAAAGATGAGACCGATTTCACAAACTGTAAAGACGCTGCAGTCAAAACATGAAGTACATGAATAAATAAAATTTATGGATGTTACCTCACACAAATATATACATATATATTTTTTTAGATTCATGTGGAATAATTTGCTTACATAGGGAACTTATTCTAGGGACATTCTTTTTTTTATGTAAATAACCAAATATGTGCTTTAATATTGTGCTTTAATATTGTGCTTGTTGGTTATATTTTTTCCAGTCCGCTACTGTTCAGTTTATCCTTAAATGTCCACATAGGCTTTAAGAAATGTAAATTTAAAAAATAACTGAAAAATAACTCAGATTCTCTATTTTAAGTTTGATGAAATGAGTCCATAGACCTGTGCCTTTTAATTCCGACTGGTTTTTACTTGCGAATTCTTGCCAGTTTGACGCATGTCTGTGAAAAACACTGTTTTTGGATTCGTACCTGAATCCTTTATCTGCTTCTTCCACCTGCTTCCCTCCAAATTTGGAGTAAACCGCCAATTGTCATTTAAATTTTCACACCAATACACGGTTGCTGTTTTATTCAAAGCAGATGTGCCTCTAAACATTCATTCATTTAGGTATAAATATGCTCCATCATTTTTTATCTTAATAAAGACTTTGCATTTCAAATTATTCCTGCTCTTGCTGTCGCTGTTGGAAGGTTTCAACAGCAGTTGCTGAATCTTGGAGGAGCAGTTTATCCTCTCCATCTCACCTACAGGAGAACAATTTAAATTTAGACGTATTTTTCCTGCCTATGCATGAAGTTGTATTTATGTATGAGTATGGGTCTTCCTCTTTTTATTAGCTAAATTAATGACTGTGTAGAGCATAGATGCAAACATCCAAAACAGTTTAAATCAGTACTGATGGCACTTCTTCGCTGCATAGCTTAAAATGTCAATTATCTTTAGAACATGCTCCCATTAACCAAATGTGTACAATCTTAGAATTTGAAATGTTTGATAACAACAATGCTTATACTGTACATTTTTCACATTCAGTGTGAAAATAAATATATTTAAAAAACAAAATTCAATAGTGAATCAAACTGCATCTGAGGAGATGGATGTTTTTTTTCTTTTAAATTCATTTTTAATTATCATTTTTTGAGCAGCTAATTAAAATTAAAGGTGCCTTAAATTTTAACCTGGAATAAGTTTAAGAAAGGTTGAACATTATGACTGTTAGTCAAGCCAAATAGTTTTTCCAAAACCATCATATATAAATTTGGGAACATCAGCTTACATCGTTGTGGTTCTTCACTGTTGCTGTTCTTCACTGAAGCGGGCTGTGAAACTAAATATGTTTACGGTCTTATGTGTATGGCCACCTTAATGAATTAATTCTTTCTAAACAGCTTTCTAAACACTCCAAATAGTCTTCCCCCCAAACCACAGAAGAATCCCGTTATAGAAATTGCACTCATACTGTTGGTCCACTGTGTGCTATTATATTTTCCTTTACTTGTCTCTCTTCTCAGTTGCTTATAGGGTTCGAAAGTGGGACCGTTGTACAATGGGACCTCCGGGTGAAGAAGGCCGACTTCAGAATCTACTATGATGAGGTGAGCACCACTCTTTACCGAACAAACAACTGAAAATACCGTATTGGTGAGAGTGCACTGGTTTCAGATAATGGTGCATGAGGGCAGGCATTTTCAGTAGCTTCTTGTGTTTTTATTTGTCACATTATAAAGAACAGAGTTTAATCTCATTGATCACAAATTAGGGGTGTCAACAGCAAGCAGGCAGTTAATGTTACAACAATAAACTTGAATTGTTTAATCAAAGGTGTGAATGAAATATTAATGGAACTGCCTCTCTGATATTCAGTTTAATAAATAGTATGATGTTGAGCCTACGGTTCATGTTTACTTATTTTTTTTCTTGCAATTGGAGATTTCCGGAAGAAAGGGTTGATTTTTATTAAACTCTCAATGTGAAATAGTTTGATTGTTAAATGCCTTTTACAGGAACTTCTGGAATTGTCCTTCAGTTTAATTACGTTCACTTACAGTTTTGCTTTAATGTTTCAGAATCTGACAGAAGACAAATGAAGATTAGTTTTTTTTAACTAAAATTCAATTAAAGAATGACCAACCAACCAGTTTATCAATCAATGCTCTGATGACAGTCCAAATAAACTTGGCAAACTGGGTTAACTCAATTTCTCACTTACCACACACACTAGGAACCATGTCAAGCATCTGGTTTTCACAGGGATTAGCTCTTGTTGAAGAATGTGTCACTATAACTATCTGCAGTTTGGTTTTTACCCACTCCTAGTATTTTTAGGGTCTTGATTAAGCTGTTATACTGACTCTGGACATGGCTAAGAGCCTATTTGAAACTGACACAGTGGGCTGTGGTGATTCTAGGGTTGGTGTGAATGAGCGCCCAAATTTGGTCATGTCTTGTTCCCCCTGTTTAAGCAGAGCGGCCATTAGAGATGGCCTGCGGAGATGCATTTTTCTGCCTGACCTCCTGTCTGATCTTTTCATCATTTCCTTCCATCACTGATTGTGTTAGGAAGTACAATTTAGCCTGTACACCTGCTAATGTTTCCACCTTCTGCCAAATGGAGTATGCTTTTCACGTCTGAGTAGCATCAACTTTTATTATTTTCATCGAGGCTCCCGCCGTCCAATTACTACCCTTTGAAGAAACAGTTTCCTTGGTCCTGCAATTACCCAGGAAAACCTCACACCATTGCAATTGTCCTTACATAGAGGAAATGTTTTTTATCTACTCCAGATGATCACGCTGTCAGCTAGAGTACATAAAAACTGCAGCACCTGTTGCCTTTCCACCCAGAGAGTAGTGGAGCATAAAACCAAGGGCTTTCCGAGACTCAATTATCTCTGTTTTCTTTTCGATATAATAATCTTAAATCATAACGTGCTGTTAGAATACAGTTTGGCATTTCTCTTCATTTAAAAATTTAAAAATGCAGCAGATTGGCAGATAAACTATACATTGAATATTACAAGACACCAGGGTCAGATTCATTGGTGTGATTTAGCTCAGCACACACACCATCTTGTCCACATCACATCCTGCAGAATAACCTTTTCAATGCTCATTTGCTTTTGAAAAATGTTCTCCCGTTCGTAATTGTTAGACAGTTAGAATTGTGGGTATTTTATCCAATTGCCTGTTGATCTGGTGAACTGCCAGCCCGTGCAAAAAAATTACTTTTTGCATTCCTCAAAGACAGATCACAAATTCCCTTTTTGTAGACCCATCTACTTCGTACATCCCTCAGACATTCTACATTTTTGCACTTATCCTCAGATTCTGTTTGCCAGCTCTTATCTCCTGTTTAATGAGGGTTCCTGTTCATCATTGTCAGTGTAGCATAACATTTATTTCTCATACGTCCTCAGCTCCGGATAAAAGCAACACTTAGTGATACAAGGGTAGACAGCTAAATTACCACTCCTGGTGTTATTTGAATGATTTGTGCTTATATTGTTGTCATCGAATGGAAAACCGTACGGTGTATGCTTTTCTCTCACATGCAATATGCAGTACACATTCCATTTCCTTTAAAAGACTGAGACAGATTTGAAGCTATTGGTGCGGATGAAGATAACTATATGAAAATGAATTCCATTGCCCTTTAACACAGAGCCCACAAAAACATGAACATTTTCATTTTTTTGCAGATTTTGTGACTATACTACAGAAATTATGGCCACATTAAGTTTAGATAAAGCCCTTATCAAAAGCCTTTTAAGCCTGTTTTTTATCTTTGAAAAGGATGGAAGGATTCTGAATTCCTGGAGGGAAAATGTTGAATTTGTATACGTTTGTAAAGTTTAATTCAGAAGGATGTAAGGTCACTGTGACAAGAATAGCTTTTTAAACCGCCTCTTTAAAGACTGCATAAAGAGCGCTTAACTAGGAACAACAACAGCGCCACACTGGAATTACAAAGACTTTGCCTTAGTTATACTCTTTTGAGCTGGAACTTTGAAAAAAATAGGTTATCTCAGGATTTAACTTTTGGTTTGAAGTTCTGTTTTTTCTCATTGTGGGAAAAGGTACAAAGCTTTTTTAGGATCATTCTGATTGACAAAGTCTTCATACATAGGAAAGATGAAACATAACTGTTTTATGTATAATTTATAACATTGCGTGATTTAAGAAAAACATCTCATCCCTAGATAGACAGAATTCTTATGCCTGATGAAATCCCTCTGTGATTGGTGCAGGCCATCCACTCAGTCAGCTGGCATCATGAAGGAAAGGCGTTCATGTGCAGCCACTCAGACGGCAGCCTGACGCTATGGAACCCCAGAAACACCTCGAAGCCATTCCAGGTCACCTTCCCTCATGGTAAAACATGCACCCATGCCGTGCTTTGACACAAACCACAATTACGGTAAACCGAGCTGTTATCTACAATAGCTGTATTTTTTTAATGTGTCTCTCCTGGAAATGTGGGCAGAAAAGACCTGTTGTGTCACATACAGTCTTCTGGTGTGAGTGTTTTTCTGCAAGACCAAAAAGCATCATCACTCAGCAGTGCATCAAGAAGTTTAATTTGTTTATTTAGTTCATGAGGATATTAAACATTTGAAATATAATATTCAAATGAAATGTAAAATTCTTGATACCTGGCTTATCAGCTCTGTTTTAATGAGGCTCATATTTGTTTTAGTGTGTGAAATCTCAACATCTGCGTATCTAAAATAGATGAAAAGCAAATTAGACTCTCATCATTTTTGCAGAATTGGCAGCACTGGTTGAGAGATATGATTTCCATCATTTGAGTGTTTAGCATCATCCCTTTCTTTCCTTGTTGATTTTACTTGTTAAATGGCAGGGCACCCCAACCTAGTGAGAAATATTCTGCTGTTAGTCAGAGAATACAGAAATCATTTTCATGCAAATTATTTTAGAAATATTTCTTGCTTTTTTATGAGAAGGTTTTTAGAATTATATCTTGTTTTTCAGAAAAAGTTTTTTAATTAATTGAATTACTTTCTTGGATCGCCTCAGACCAAGTAATTCATCTTATCACACACCACCATTTTTAGAACATTTGGATTAGGATTTAATTACATAATATTGTAATTTTCATTCAGCAACATGCACATGCATTCCATTATTTCTAAGAAACTAGCTTCACCAGGTTGTTGAATTAACAGTCTGAACAAGTCAAACTTTTTTTCTCCGAAGGCAGTCGTGGGATACTGTGAAAAGTCTTTGTTCATGTAGTGATGTGTGGAGATCGGTTTGAGCAAAGCTATAGTACAGATACATATTGGCTCTAATAAAACTCCCTCTGAGTGTTGGATTGCCTGTCAGTATTTGTTTCTTTTTTCTGGCAAATAAAATCTTAACAACATATTTAACAAGCCATTTTATTCAAAGTGGAACAGTTCTATGAACTTCAGACTCCATTGGCTGTTATTTATTTACAGATCATTTTACAATATTTTTAAGGCAAATAAATTCAGAAATAATGATGTGTGTCTCATTTTTATATGAAGTGTAGCAGAATTATTGGAGCTGTATCATTTATTCATTATTTTAGCCAGTTGTTATCAGTATGACTCTTTTGGAAATATATTATCTGAAATTACAATAGTCTATCTTGTAAAAGCATGGTCTTAGTTGGTTTAAAAAATATCTGTCAGTGATTTGTTGGGAGTGCTATTCCCATGAAGAAAAGCCAAAGACCCCTCTGCCTTCCAGCCGAGAGACTTTCACTTTGTGTCAACGACAAAATCATTTTGCTGCTAGAAGCAGGGGAAATAGCTCCCTTCGGCGAGTTGAGTCTGATAATGGTCTGCCATTTGCTAACAAAAAAGGAAACCTGATACATAGCAATAAACACAGGCAATGACTTCTTTATATACCAGTTGAACTTGTGGTTCTGAAACGGCACCATAATCATCACTTTTATGCTGCAATGCGCGGCCCAGCTTGTTAGAAATTGCCGCTGTGACAGAAAGGCTTGTCAGAGAGGTGTATGCGGTCAGCCGATATTAAGCAGCGCCAAATAAAATGAATTTCTTGTGATATTTCTTCCAACTCAGGAAAGATACAGAAAGATGGGAGGAAGGAGTCATGTAAACCCATACTCAAAGTGGAGTACAAGACTACAAGAAGCAGGTTTGTGTTTTAACACCTATGAAGTGCCCATATTGTACATGTTAACTTTTGACTCTTTATCTTTGGTTTATGGTTAAAATCTTATAGATTAAAGCCTGATTTATTTGCGTTTGACGATATCTTGAAAACATTTTTTTTAATTAAAAAAAAAAACAATCACAAGGCAGAAATGGATTTATTTTCTGTGATCAGTACATTTGTGTGAAGTGAGATAAATTCACCGAATATATTTTCTCCTTTCCTAGCAGCGAGCCTTTTGTTATCTTCTCTGGGGGTCTTTCATATGACAAAGCAGGACGAAGGCCAACGTTAACTATCATGCATGGCAAAGCCATCACTGTTCTGGAGATGGACTATCCCATTGTAGAGTTCATGGTGCTCTGCGAGACTCCTTACATTAATGGTGAGCACAAAGTCACTTATATAAGATTCCCCACAGTCATTTTCCTTTGATTCAATTTTTTGGTTTCTGTGGGTTTAGAATCACACAGAGAGATTTGATTTAAAGGCTCCTCAAACCCATTGCACACATGGACCAAAGAAAATCCATCTGCACTCTATTTTCTTATTTTAACTGAGACACTTTTTTATTTTATTTTGCTACTCATGAAACTTTCTGGAATTGCACCTTTTTGAGAAATTATATTTAACCTATTCCTTGCTATTCTCTGTCATTTAGTTATATCTTCAGGCCATATCATTTTTATTAGTCACTATTAAATGTTCTATATGGACATAGAATTGTTACTAATAAGCGTCCTTTAAAGTCTCAAAAATCTTGTGACTGTGAGGTTATAAATATTTTCTCATTTGTATGTTACAGAGGTCCAGGAGCCGTATGCTGTTGTGGTGCTGTTAGAAAAAGACTTGATCGTGGTGGATCTGACTCAGAGCAAGTATGTGTCACATGTAATCATTCTTTTTTTTAAACTAATCATTCCGTAGAAAAGAAAACATGACACAAAACAGATGCAGACATTTGCTTTTATTACATGATGGTTTCAGCAACTTTGTAATTTTTTTCTGCTGGCAAATTCTGCTGAATGTTTTATGATATGCATGTTTCTTACAGCTTCCCAGTGTTTGAGAACCCTTATCCCATGGACATTCATGAGTCTCCAGTTACCTGCACAGCCTATTTTGCAGATTGTCCTCCAGACATTATCCCCATTCTGTATTCTATAGGAGCGAAAAACAAGAAGACCGGATACAGCCAAAAGGTTAAAAAAAGGCAATTTTGAATACTAAGAATAACTGTTGATTGTGGTGTACTTTTCTACAGTTTTTTTTTTACTTGTTTCATGGTTAATTAATCAAATTTTATTCGGAAGTATGCTAGAGAGGATTTCCATTTACAAAAGAATAAAGAGATTTTGGTATGCAATAGGAGTAGTTCTTCTACAACTCTTCCAAAGAGATTATATAATGTTTAGAACGAATTCAAATTAATCCAGAACGGCACAACATGCCTACTAGAATGTAGAGTTTCTAAATAACTAGCTGTATTTTTCTTTTGATGGAAGGAGTGGCCAATCACTGGAGGAACGTGGACATTAGGTTCCCACACGTATCCAGAGATCATCATCACAGGGTAAGTCAGAAGCGCTAGTTCTTGCTTCCTGCCATGACTAAATTACTTCTGTATGACCATCTTAAGAGAACACAAGAAGATCATTTTTACTAATGGTGAATAACGAAGCCCATGCCGGATTTCTGTGCTGACAGGCACAGTGACTCTAAGGGTGGCGTTTGCTTCTGAGTTAAACTAAAAAATATCAGTGGCAGCATAAGCCCTTTGATGCCAAAATGGAGATAATTTCCTTTGTAAATGCTTTCTCAAAGGCATTTTTTGCCACAGAGGAAACTGGGATTTAATATTTTACTTTATTTTTTATGTTTGTGTTGGTAAGAATAACTACCAAATTGAATAAAAATGTGCAACTGAGTCCACCTTCTAAGGTCAAATTCTTAAAGCCAATGTTTTTTTGCTCCTTATTATCTCTCAAAATGTCTTCTTTTTATTCAGGCATGCTGATGGATCAGTCAAATTTTGGGATGCATCTGCAAGTAAGTCCTCCTTCCTATGCCTTCTCATCACAGTGTACACCCTCTTTCAGTTGAAAGTTTTGCCAGATGTTAATTTCTCTTATTTCTCCGAAAACCTTTTAAACCAGTCACACTGCAAATGTTGTATAAGCTGAAGACCTCCAAAGTGTTTGAGAAGCCGAAGCAAGGGGAGGGCCGAGCCGCTGAACTAGTGGACGAAGACCCCTATGCTGTCCAGATGGTCAGCTGGTGCCCTCAGAGCCGCATCTTTTGCGTGGTCGGCATCTCGGCTCACATCATCTTGTATCGCTTCAGCAAATATGACGCCAATACTCAGATAGTGGTGAGTGAAGTGAGCTCCAGAAAGTGCTCTCAGCGTCGTGATTTGGTGCTGAATTTTTGTACCCTTGTCATTTACAGGCATTAGAGATCCGCTTGCAGTGTGAACCAGAGGATGTGATCACTCCGTCAGAGAATGAAAACAACCCCTGCTTCTCAGAGCCGGGCGCCCACTCACCCCAGCCTCACCATCAATACCCGGTCAGTCCGGGCAGTCGGACGCCAGAGAGCGGCAAAGACAGTGTCCCCTGCCTCAAGTAAGACACTTTCACACGTTTCAAAGGCACCCCACCGCAGACAGCTTGAGATATTTTAAATGTAGTCACTGATCTGGTGCCAGAAATTCTAAAATCCAGTCCAATCACTTGTGTCCGTGTCAGGGTGAAAGAACGGGTAGTTCGTGTTCCTCCTGGCTACCAGTCAGACCTGGTCATCCAGCTGCTGTGGGTGGATGGAGAACCTCCACAACAAATCACCAGCCTGGACATCAACTCTGCCTATGGCCTGTGAGTTTTCATAAAGATTATGTCTGTCTGTCCAGTGTGACCATCACTTTCAATGTGGAAATTTTCTTCATTAATAGTACAAATCCTGTACAAACCACAGGATTACATTGATATGCAGTAGTTGTTGTGATCTGCAGCATTACTGTCACGCACTGGCACACATAATGGACGTATTCTTGCTATTATTTGCTGAACACTTCCTTTTTATATATTCTTCTAGTCAGAGTGAGGGGTTTACCGACAAATGCTTTCAAAACTAATACAAAGTTTGTGCCCAGGTGATTGAAAAAAAGTGTGAGCGTTGACAGTTCTTCCACACTTCTAATCTCCTTTGATTTTCAGAACACTTGGGTGGCTTTGTCTTTGTAATGCCAGACACCAATAAAATCACAGCATGCCTTGAAAGGCTACCAGTGGGTCAAGGCAGCTGCATTGTTTGAATTTCCTTTCGAAAGCTTTCAATGAATTGCAAAAAATTGATTTATTTATTTTTCCTGTCTTGGCTGGCTCTTTCGCTTATACACAGGAATTTGTGCACTATTTCACTTTGGCCAGTACAAAAAACCCTGTCTTTTAAACTCTTTATGTTACATATATTTTATGTCATTCACTTCAACCAAAGTGGTAAGAGCTCTATTGAACGATCAACGTGTTTGTTACAATAACTGCTTTTTATCCATCCCTGGTCATTTACTTTTCTCTTGGCCAAAATTACAGTGAACTTCTTCCAAAGTGCTGTAGCCATTTACCCCATAAAATACGAAAACATTAAAACCATCATTTGTAGGCATCAGTATTCCTCTGCCTCTTCCTTGTTGACAAATGTTTGATAAACTAATGAACCTATGCATAGCAGTGATTGCACTAATGCTGTTTCCAGGTCTCTCTAGCCAAGAAAAGTGTAATGTGAAGATATATTCATGAGAGTCTAACAGTAAACTATAACCACTTTTAGTCGGAGCAATATAATTTAATGGGATCAAAAAATAGGAGAGAAATGCCACCCTGATTCTGAAAAAGTTTTAGGATTATTTAAAATGTAACATTCAAACGCAAACCACTGACTTGTATATGTGATAAAAGCTTAAGAATATAGACTGAAACAGAAGTAGACATTTTTTTTTTACCAATCTTGTGAAAAAGATTTGTTTGTCTACTATGCAACATATCTAAAAAAAGGTTAGCAAAGTGGCAACATCTATAAGTACGAAACGATATGCTAAGATTCAAAAGTCTCCAAACAACTTAGCTTCTCTTCAAAGAATTGTAAAGACTTTGAATATTCATATAGAGAACCAGGTTCAAGTTCTCTCATGACTAGAAGAAGCTATGCTTATTTAAAATGGACAGACGCAAAGCGGTCAGGCGGAGCCAAATGTGAAAGCAATTTTGGAAATGATGGATGAAGTGGACAGGGACTATCTGTCTAGTTATCGGCTCTCAGGTCTGAAGTCTTCATCTCTGATTACACGCAGTGCTTGTGGAACAGTGTCATTTTATCATATGGGTGGATATCTCAGCCATGAAAAAGGTATACAGCACAGCAAATCAAGGTGATGTCAATGTAATATATATACAATGTACATATATCAGGAAGAAAGTGCTAAACCACATAATGCAAAGGGGATAAAAGGCTGCGGAGGGCTAAAATTACATCTCGGACAAGAATCTGATAAGATCACCCAAAAGATCAGGTTAGTCCAGGTTATAAAGGGTTGAGGACCAATTACATGCAAATGATTTAAATAGAATCCTCAAGTGCAACACAAACAAAGCTAGAGTAAATGGAATTTTTGCAGAGGCTAACACAGCTGGTACTGAATCGAGTAAAAAATTTGGCATTGATATTGAAAAAAACAGCTCTTGTAAAGTCGGATAAATCTAGACTTTTTATAGTTGGCAGGTGCATCAAAACGTCACATTTGATTTGGTTGTGGTAGATGTCAAATGTCAAAGCCAGTGGCTTGAAATGGGTTCTAATAGTACAACTGTCCTTGTGTTTTTTACCTGTGCACGTTCCATCTGTCATGATTGTGTCCAGCTTGGCGTTTGGGAACGGTAATGGGCTAGCGGTGGTGGACTACCTACAGAAGGCTGTCCTGTTGTGCGTGTCGACCGTGGACCTGTACGGAGCCACTGACCCCTATCAGCGCCTTACCCGTTCCCCCCGCCGGAACAGACAGTCCACCTCAGGTAGAACGCGGACACGCCTCTGGAATCCCGCCACACTCACATGGACCTCCAAACACTCACTTTGCATCTACACCAAAGGGTGACAATTGTCCAGCCAACACATCTGCTTGTTTCCTAATCCTATACTTTCTGTATTTTTGCATTTTTTACCCAGTTATCCTGACCCAAGTCTGTTTTCTTCAGATATAGTTATAAATCAAGTCTTATAAATCTTTGGACTTTACAGATTAACATTCGTATAGCCCCTTTCTCATGCAAACAGATGTTGAGCTTACTTTCAGAAAATGCTGTTTTTTCTTTTTTTACGAAATTAAAAACCTGGGAGTACCATTTCAGGAATTCCAAAAACGCCATGTAAAGCTCAACCTAGACTCCTTAGAAAATAGCATACAATGTATTAGACATGCTCTATGCCTGCTTCTCTTTTCTCCTTTCCTGTCACACAATAACATTCAAAGCACAGACAGCTGTCATTATGTTATGAGGTGCATGTTAACAGGTTGTGTCATCATCCAACACTGGCATTACTATGCATGTTGTCATTTGGTCTCTCTGTTTGCTCTGTTAGTCCTGCTTGAGCTCAGATCTGTTAGTCAAAAGCCACAGAGGTCTTGCTGTACTTCCTGACCCCAACCTTCCCTTTCTCTGCTGCTCGTCTTGGCAAGCAAAGGCCACTGAAGCGACTGATATTAATACCTAATGTGCTACTGTTTATTGATGGTCAGCCCACAACAGAGAGCAGAACATGCTGAGGTACTCACTTTAATTTGATCGAAATTAACCTTGGTCAATTATGTTTCGCATTAAATGGATAACATATATTTATGGTTTGCACAGTGCAAATTAACAACCAATCTAACAAGACAAATGTTGGCCTTTTTCTATTTTATATAGTATATTGTATAGTACACGTAATACAGACTCAAAGAAATAGTCAAAAGAAATGTTCAAGAACATAAGATAATGTAACACTTGCCAAACTGTCTTTACAAAAGTGTTTGTGTCTTTTCCAACACATTTTTAGCTGTTCTCACCACATATGTATTTGTACACTTCACTGTGTGCACAGTTATTATGCAAATGTGGATAACAATAGATCAATGCTGTCTTTATCCAATGCCAGGCTCTGGTAATTCAATCACTTATATGCATTTTTTTTTCAGTAAAAGAAAGGGTGGCCATAAGCTATTAGAGCCAGGCACACCATTTTCAATTGCTGTTTGTTTCAAACAGCTTTCAGGCATTTTCCGGCTGCTGGTCACAGATGAGCTGGAAATGCTCTTAAGTTTAAAGATGGACTTGAAATGGACATTCAAGTCCATCTTTTTTCGGGAGTGGCAGATGGATATGACGATTTGGGAAGCATTCAGTTAAGGCCATGATCTCCATGCTGTGCATTGTTACTTTGAATGCATTCGAGCACACACCTGCTCGACAAACCTTTAACCTAACACTGAAGAATGGAAACACAACTCAGAAACTTTCCTCTTACTTGGAAGGATGTGCTGTGTTATAAGATGGTTTAGTGCAGCCCGCCTGTACCTCCTACCCCTTTGTCCGACTGAACAGTGCCAACTTTTGACAGGATTCAGTTTCAAGCGCCAGTGATTTTCACACAGTGACTGAATTTTAAACATCGTCAGTGGCACGACAGGAGCTGTATCAAAGATTATAAGTATTTAACAGACGTCATCATGAATTTACTCTCTATTTCGTATCAGGAACAAAAGTATAAAGCATACCATGACATTGTGTTTATTGTTCCCTTTATAAAATTATCAAAAGGTGAAAAATTAGGAGAAATACATGGTTGTAACATAGTACATAGTTGCCTAGTGATTGTGCACACAGGTTCAACATTTTGTCTTTACTCAGAGTTTTTATGGAATACAGCTTGCTTAACAACTGTACATGGAGTTTGACAATTATTTTTAGAATGAATCTAGAAATGTTTATCGTAACATTATCTTAGTGAATATATTATGAAGCTTCAAACATTATCAGCTGGAGCAACAAGAGATTTATTTTTATGTTTGTTCATGTCAGTAATGATGGCTTCCCTGCTAACACAGTGGTTTTTGTGCAAATTAGTACTTACATCAGCATTTCTGGGGTCTGCTGGAATAGCCGGTATATCTTGTTTGTCTTCCCCTGACACTAACTCACTTGCTGCTTGCTCTCACTTTCTTTTCCTCTCTAAGCTTGTGTGTTCTTCTCTCTCCCCTCCAACCCCCTCCCCCTGCCTTTCCTCTAAAATTTCTTACCAACTTTTTCTACTTATGCTTACTTTTATGCAATTTTACTACCGCTTTCTTATTCCATTCTTTGTTTTCTCTCTTCTTGGCATTCTGCCTCTGCCTCACCCCACTCATGCCTTTCCTTTCTATGTCACTCCTTCTATCACGGATTTCCACGCACTCCTTCCACTCTTTCTTTCTGCCCACCTTGCCTTCCTTCTCTCTTCTTCTCTCCTTCCTCCTCCCACCTTTTTGGTGACTCTGTGGCTGCTGATGTGGGCATGCGGGCCTGCCTGACAGAGTTTTGCATGCGCGGCCTGTCTAACTTTTATTCAGATCCAAAGAAAAGGATCCGTACATCCTATCAGAGTAAGTCGGGCCTTCCTACGATAAAGGCTTGGGGGACACGGTGTGTGTGTGCAGGAGGGATGAGGGGATGGGTGAGTGTTTTGTAGGTTTTAGAAAAGAAAAAAAAATCCATTGGAATTCATTTGGATTTATAGCAAAGTGACAAACCTAAGAGATGACTGGAATAATAATTGTTTCTGTAGGAACGGTTAAAAACCACATACATTTTGCCACATGCAAAATTCCAGTCATGTCTGCAGCGTGTCCTTTGCAGAAAGAAAGAACCTCCTTTCTCTTAAGTAAGGGCAGTTATAAATATTCTATTATCCATGTGATGTATTTTTGAACTAAAGCATAGTCAGTGGTGTGAATAAATCCTGCTTCATGGACTGGGCCCAGAAATAGTATAACGTTTTTTTTAGGAGTGTAGTTACAAAGGAATTCTTGATTCAGTGCTTCAGTAAGGGATCAGTCATAACACTTTTAATTTTTTTCAGTCACTTGTACATTCAGAGTAAATTATTGAAAGAGCATTAAGGCCATTTTCCAGAAACGTTGACAGTGGGAGAATTATTCAATGAATAAAGCTTTTTGAACTGTGACAACTCATGGAGATTGTTAATAACTCCGTAGTTAGGGCAGTGAAACACACCACACTATTAGTCAGACTCAAAGTAGGATGAAGTAGAAATGTTTCCCTATCTTACTTTTTAAATCTAAAAACAGAGGTAGAATTTGATTTTGGATTGTGCTCGATGCATGGTGTCTGATTTGAAGTGATCCTGATTGGACCTTTGTGTTGTTCCTGTTTTGTGCTTTGATTGTGTTTGCCAATTTATTGTGTGATTTGCACTACTTGCTTAGAGACGCTTAATTGGAGTCACATTTGCATCTCAGTGAACTCGGCCTGGATGCTTAGGGGTGGCTATTCGATACCAGTCGTAGTGCAGGTCATATTAAGAATCAGCCACTCTGCTCCCAGGGGACTAAGTTCATCTAAAGACAGTTAGTAAGAATAAACGACAGGTATTGATAACAACCTTTTAGTTTTCATGCTTCGAAGACAAAAAAAGAAGCAGTGAGAAGTGATCATATTATGATATCTCTTACATTTGGTATTTTATTTGGGATCTGCGTGGCTGACTCTGACCAAACTGATTTCTGCTCAGTGAACCTGACGTGGTTCATATGATCTGACAGATAGTTTGTATGTGTTCCTCCTCTTGGCTGCGGCAGGCCTTACAGAGCTCACTGACAACCAGCAGTCCGTTGACATGGAGAGGAGCAAGTCGCCCACTTCAGGTAACCTACCCCAGCACACGCACACTCGCAAGCACAAGTCATTGCATATTTTCTCGATCTTTCTCGGCATATGTTTTTGTTACTGGCACTTTCGAACTTTTCTGGGATGCTGCTGACTAAAAAAACTTGAATTACAGCCTGTGGTCGCCTCACCAGCCATGACAGAGTCTTCCCTCATTTATAATGGTGCCTGTTCAAACTGATGCTTAGTTCTGTGTTTTTATGTGGTGGTCTGAGGTCTAGTGGAGGAAAATATCTGATGCATTTTACTGCAAGCTTTCACTGTTTTTCCTTCATTCTATTGTCCATTTTAGCAATTGTAGGTTTTCACAATTGTAAGAACAGCAAAGGCCTTTACTCTTATTCTGCTTCCCTTCTTTATTTGTGCACTTTTTTTGACATGCCTACCTTAAAGTAATGATAAAACAGCTGCTGTTTGTGATGATGACCCACAGTTGCTAGGTAATGGCAGTAACCATTAGGTTGGCTTTAAAGCCAAAGCTAAAATCCTGTGTGTCCTCACATCAGTTTAACATTTCCTTATGGAAAAACTCCTGTCAGTTAGATATTCATTAACATCTGAGTGCTCGACTTGTATGAGCTTCTACGGGCTGGATAATGTGAAACAAACATCTCCTGAGAAGATGGTGGTGTGATGAAGCATAAATTGTAGTTTTTGAAAGTTTGTACTTGATGTTACACTCATTATCTTGTCACTTGGATCAGAAATCTAATGTTAAATGTGAGAGTTGGTCGGGGAGCAGTGACAGCAGCTGCTGATGAATATCATTTAGCAGAAGACTCTGTAATGGAACACAATAGATAGGGGGCTGCTGGCAGTTTGTTGAAGTCTGCTTGGATGGAAACAGAGAAACTGAATACATAATGAAGTGAGAGAAGGAGAATGATGATAGTATTCTCAAGCAGCTACTTTTGTTTATGTCAGAGGGGAATATTTTTATCTCAGAATAATCAGAGCTTAAAGGTCAGAGTGTTTGACTGTGCTCAAGAGGCTGGCGGTTGGTATGATGTGCTCACAACATGCTTTATTTATCACAGTTTCAAATCTAGCTCCCTTTACATTAGATAAAAGTGCCTTGAGGTTGCGTGTTTGTACTCCTCTTAAACCTTACAAGGTAGAACAGTAGGTTTCAACAAATAAGCATGATTTCCTTGGGTCTTATTAAAATGTATGTGACAGGCTTTAGTCACATTTTCTGCTGGTTTAAGCACACTGGCCCGTCTGTCACTGCTGCTGAAACAACCGGGGTGAGAACAATAAGCAGGGGGAAGGAAATGATATAGGCAGAGCAGGGGAGATGAGAACATGGACCCCAATTCTTCAACCTTATGCAGAAAAGCACTGGCCCGCAAATAGATGTAAGTTAAAGAGAAAATGCATTTGCACTGAAATGTGATTTAGACAAATAAAAGCAAACAGCTGAACAATTGAAAAGCACTCATAAAAGTGTAACTGCAAATGGAAATGTTCAAAGGTCCAAAGCACAGGCCTCACCATAAAGATAAGACTTTTATGTGTACCTGGTGCTGGACTCCAAAAGTTACGTCTTAGCACAAATGCATTTTCCGCATCATAAGTTCCTTTTATTAATTTTGTATGTCCAAAAATAGGAATGTACTGGGCCATCACAAATGATAGAACCGTGATTTTCATGTTAGAATGGGCTTTTTGTTCCAAAAAAGCCTGAGCTGGACAAAGCTTGCTTATGCACTGAAATATCTTTCATGCAGTTAGTATTTGTATGTCAGACAGGTTCCAGTTTACAGCATGCATATAACAAAGACCCTTTTGGAAATTGTGTCTGGTCGGAGGCCATTCATTGCTCTTACCGCACAAATTAGCACACTCTGTTGAAGGCACACTACCGCTGGTCGTGCTTTGCTAAATCTTCTGAGAGCATCTGATTGGCCATGTTAATATTTTCTGTATGTCACAGAGGACTCTTGTAAGTTTGAACCCCAGATAGGCTTCATATCTGTTTGTAGCTAATCATAATTGCAAAATCAGTCATTATTGGTTATAACAGGGTCCCAATGAAGTTTCATTCTGTTGCAAAGACACTAATCCAGTTTCGAGTTTGAAAATTCCACATAGTTTGGCAATGTTATAACTCATTTATAAACCATGTGTAAACCATGTGTAACAGGGAAACACTACCTTTAATTAAGAGATAGAATATCGACTGCAAAGTATGTATAAATACCCTCAATGTGGTGCTCATCAAACCTGATAAGTTTCAGCACTGCTGCGGACCTGAAACAAATTTTCTGTCACACACTTGTAAAATTTACCTTGATGGCCAATTTGTTCTGGTCAAATGCTTTTAGATGAGCAGAGGAAAAATGTAACAATAGCTTTTCAAATCCCTGGAAATTGCATGCAATTTTCCAAACCTATCAACAGATGGAGAGTAATTTGAAACTTTGAATCTCTGTGAAATTAATTACAACAATTTCTGGTGAGGCTCCAGGGGAAAATTTTAATATTTTGTCTTTAACCTGAGCAGATCCAGGGTGAAACTGTGTTTCCTCTCAAATACAAAATAGATGGCTCCTGATCTTTGTATGATAAGAGATTAATCACTATAGATAGTGAGCTTTTTTTATTGTATTTTTACTGTTATGGACAAATCTTCCCCAGAGAAAGTATTGTATCATAATATGTACCAGCTCTAAAGAAAGTTGTTGCATATCTGATAAGACAAAAAATATGAGACAGGCCACTAAAACCACTGCTGCTGCCTGCTGCCCACTTGTCCATGACCACTGCTGTCCTAACAATTTGTGACCCTGCTGGGTTCTGCTGTATGCTGCTTTGTCGCTTTTCTATCCACTCGGGCCTTTATGGGTCTGAGCCTTTAAATTACTTTGAATGTGTCAGTTGACCTCGGACAATTTGCCACGGGAAAACCCAGGTGAGTGTGACCCTCCTGAACCGTCACGAGAACTCACAAGTATTTTTGGACAAACAATCTGCCGATTCTCACTGTTAGTCTTCCTTAAGGGATAGTGTTAGGACCTCAATTATGGTGGAGAAGCTTGGTAAGAAATCATCACTGAAATGGTGTCTCCTTGTCATGTTGCAGGCATGTCTATATCAGTGTTCTCTCGCTTGGGCGAGATTGACATTACATGTCTCATGCTATAGAATAGGGATTGTTCAATTGAGTGGATGGATGTTGAATGACCAGTTCATTAGGTCTTCCTCCATGCGTCACCTAACCTGTGGGTATTATGCTAAAATTTTGCTGTACTTCTGCTGGTTTGTTGTTAGTCTGTAAGTGTGAGAAACACTCCAGGGTATTTTACAGAACCTATCCGAGGATAGCAGATGGTGCACAGCAGAAAATTAAAGCATTGTGATTTCGAGAGTGTTGATGTTGTGTTGCCTGGATGGACCTGGACAATTAGACCAGGAGAATGTGAGTTTATTAACGCAGCTCGTATTTCTAGATCTGAATATGCTTCAATCATAGCAGATGTACGCACATACAAGCGTGTGTATATATGTGTGTGTGTGATATACATATATATATATAAAAAATACAGAATAATGTTTTTATAGCCACAGCAGTAGTTGTTTTGTATATCAATGTTGACTGGAATACAGGAATTTTGCCATGCCTCAGTACAGGTCTGTCATTGAATAATAAAAAAATAGCAGTTCACAATAGGAAAAGACAGCAGCGAAACATTAATTCCTCTCAAAATGTTTTGCAAGATTTTTTTTTTTTTACATATTAATTTAAGAGTGGCATATTGAATTTGATAGGGATACAGTAAAATAAGGCAGAACCTCATCTCTGCTCTGCTTGACAGGCAAAGAGTTCATAGCTTGTTATCTTCAGCTGAATATCAACTGTCAACCTTCTCTGTGGCCATTACAGGCTGTTTTACTGTCCCTGGCACAGCTGGTGTGCTGTATCTGGAAACAGCTTATTAAGAAAGCCGGTAGCATCCCGATTCACCCTATTTGTCAATAACTGGAAGCATCTCTCGGATTTTTGTTCTTTCACAAACTCTTCCCTGTCTTGCACAACCCATTTCCAATCTCTCTTATGGGATTACGCACGATAATTGGCCTTACTCCTGCCAGAAAGTTGTCTACCTCCACCTTTAACTTTTTTGAGCGTGTCATAAGGTCTGCTCTGCTAGGATTATGTCTTTCGTCTCCCCGGGGAGCTCCTTGTCAGGGACAGCTATATCAGGCCTTACCTGATCCAATATTTTGAAAAATGGACTAACAAGATGACATGCTGCTGATCGGAGCTTGACCCAACAGGATATATTAAGACGTTATCTGTCATTAGAAACTTTCATGTTCACTCGAGGTATGATCAATCTTCAGTTAAAAGAAGGTTTTACATCTGTGCACAGAAGATGAGATGTAAGGCTAACAGGAGTGTTAAGGAAGTAATTTGAATTATATTATGTAATCAAAACATTAAACACCAAGTTTAAATATTTTATTTGACAGTTATGTAACAGCCACATGTCCATCTGCATTAAACCACAAATGTACCATTTGAAGCTAAACATGGATGCTTGATAGAAATCAGCATTTATGTACAGTATGCAGTTCGAAATTCCTTTTGTTTGTTGCCTGTTAACGTATCTAGTGTGCAGTGAATTTTTTTTTTAAGTTGCAAAGCTAAGTAAGCCTATATTTCATCCTGAGCTTGCACAAGGTTACAGTAGAAAGAAAAAAAATCAGTTTTAACAGGATGAAATCTCTGACAATACCAGAACACGGAAGAGTATCCCTCTGCCTCAACTGGGTAGGCACTGAGAGGACAAGAAAGAGGGGACAATAGTAACATAGAATCAATCCACGAATACCTGCTGATAAAAAGAAATTCAAGGTAATAACAGTAATGTTTCACCACTGATTTTCAGACAAACAACTGTCTACTTTTACTGTCTGGCATATTTCAGTTGATGAAAAACCTCTACCAGCTATGATTCTGTATATTGTAGTTGACCTGAACTTTCTTCCATCCTTGTTATTCCTAAATTATTTTATGTCCTGTTTTTTTGGTATATTTGCATTTTTATATTAATAACATGCAAATGAACATTCTTGGAATTAGATATATCATAATCCAATTTATGGTTCCCTTAATATTTCTGGGTGAGACACATTTTCAACAGTATCCTTAAGGCATTTAAAGTCAGATTGATTTGTGTTTTTTAGGTGGTTTTCCTTGTGTTTGTCTTGGTAGTTGTAGTCGTTGTTGTAGTATTTTTGTTGTTGTTGTTGTTGTTGGTAATGGCCACATCACAGGAAGTGGAATACTGCTGCTGGGATAGTGTTGTTCTTAAACTTCCTAATAACTCTTCTTTTTCCTAACCTCTCAAGTGTTTCCTGCCTATTACCTGCAAGTCTCTCTTCTCCCCAGTTCACCCGATGTGTTTGTCTCTCCCCTGTTTCCCTGAAAAGTCTGTGTCTGTTTTGTTGGCTCTCCTGTTCCAGTTCATTACCCAACCTCCCTTCACAATGACCCGCGCGTCCTGCCAGAGCCTGTGGCCAGTCTGAGAGCCAGCCACTGCAGTCCAGTCTTTTACTTACTGGACAATGGTAAGGGGAGGGGCCACTGTCGGATCGAAGCCTCTTTACGGACATCTGCTTGTGTACTTTCCTGTATTGCAACATTGCAAAGCGAGAGGGATGTAGGATCGATATTTGGACAGGTTGCTTTGATGTTGCCGTTTGCATGCTAGTCCTGCTTCCACACTTTGCGCAACACAATCAGCGAAACCAAAGAAGTCCGCTCATTTTTTACATAAGCAAGTATTTGGAATCATTTTAACGTAGTAAAAATTGAACAAAGAAAAAACAAAAAGTTGAAACAATCTTGAGATAATCACAGTTAAATGCTTTGTTTTCGTAATCATAACAGAGTAGAAGCTCTTGGACAAGAACAAATGCAATTATGGCCCTCATATGACATCATCTCTCTCAGAGATTGACCTGTCAATCAGGTTGCTTGCAGTGTAAACAAGCTTTCAGGGACTGCATTGCTGAGATTAGAATGTGTGTGGCTGCATATTCTTTGTGCTCCATGCTTTGTGATAATGAGTGCCGGGTAGTGCATTGTCTGGCTCGCCCAGCTGCTGTGATGTTGTCGCTTGTGCCAGATCTGGGCTTTGTCCTCAGACTTGTTGTCATTCTCTCAAAAGTTGTGAGGCAGGTGGGCCTACGAAGACGCCTCCCCTCACTCGTCAGTGCCTCTACTGCCTCATTTTCTGTGACAGTTTTCCATTCGCTCATCTTTGCCACGAGCTTTCCCCAAGTTGTGGCGCTCGGGGTTCCTGTCTATGTGTCCACAAACTCATCTTGTTGTCCTCTTGGCTAACATTGATCATGATCTCGTGTTACACTAACTGCATGGGGCCCACCATGAGGCCAGTTGCAGTGCTGATGAATATGACTACTGCTTGCTTGTATTGGTGTGTCCATAGCGCATAACGGTGAATCGACATTTTAGGATCGTAACTCCATTTGTGATAACAGTGCTTCATGCATAATGAATACTCTTATTCAAGCTTCAGGGGACAACTCAAACTTTTGCCTTTTTATCTTGAGCATATTGGCTTTGCTGGATACCGTTAGTGGATATACTAAAAGGACAAAGAAAGAACCAAACCATCTGTTTTTCTTGAGTATGACACGTAACAAATAGTCAGGACAGCTTCCAGTTTCATCGTAAACATTGCTGTTATTTTGCAAGTCCATTAACCTTCAGGTCACCAGTGCCTGTGTGTCTAAAAAGGTGTTTTCATGATCACTCACCTGCTGCCTGTATGGAGAGATAAAATGTTTCCCTGCCATTGGATAGAGAGAATGTGGTTTATGTAGAAAAAATCTAAACATTGCTTAGCCTGAAGCAGATGTTTTATCCATGCAAAGAGAAAGAAAATGCCAAAATATGCTGGAAAACAAAAGCAGTAAAGCTTTCCATTTAGCTGTTTCGATCCATAGGGATGAATTATGAGGTCAATATGGCGTTTGTCCACTTTAAATTGCTGTTGTGTGTCTTTTTTAAAATTCAACAAAGGCAATGAATAACAAGCAATGAATAAAGAATCTAATGTAGATTTGAAAAACAGTATGCACGTTCAGCATCTTGCAAATGTTCACAAACCCTTTGCCATTTTTTTCTTCCATGTTATTTTAACACGTCAGTGAAGAAATTGGATTTCTTGGATTTACAATATGAAGAAACTCAAAGTAGTTGAGGCAGATATATTGAAATTGTATTTTAAAAGTCCCACTGTGGTAGGTCTGGGTCTTTTATGAAACTCCAGAATGCAAATTTGTACAAATGTAGAAAAGAGCAACATAACAACTATAAATATCAAGGAGATTATATTCAAATCAACTCTTGGAACGTGCAAGAATATTGGTCTGCCAAAAAAATTATGAGAAACACAAAAGCTCATGGATCAAGTCACGGGGGGGTAATCAACCAGAATGGTTACAAAGAGGCCGGAAGTAACCCTGAAGGAGCTGGAAAGCTCCATGGCAGACACTGAAGTGTCTATCCGGAAAAAACTAAGTGCGTCCCTCACTCTCTCTCCCTCTATGATGCATGGTGGTGACAGCACAAAGCTGCTGGCTGTTTTTCATCAAGAGTTTTGGAAAAATGGTCAAAACTGAATGAATGATGGATGGTGCTAAATGCAGAGAAACAGTTGTCAGTACCTGTTTGTCCAGTTAATGTTGACTTACCAAACAAAAATGTCTCACCACTTTAACGTGGTAGGCATTGTGTGTTGATCCAAATGACTATAAGAAAACTAAATGGGAAAAAATGGAGACAGGAATTAACAAATTTGCGCAATTGCTTTTATAAACATACAGTAAGTGATTCTGTGTTTAAAATCTATATTAATGAATGAGAATACATCTAGAGTTTAGTGGACTATTGTTTCTTTCACAATGAGGGCTCCTCTGGTTCCTCAAACAAGCCCCACCTGCTTATTTTGATTTAAAAAATGAATTTTATGAAGTGTTTGTGCAGTCACTGAGCAATTAAGCAGAGCAACCATCTGTGTGTAAAGGGCTTATTATGAAAACTGTTTTCCTGTCATTGTGTCTCCAACAGAGCACATTTTATGTGGCTGCTGCAGTATCTGGTCACCAGGGTACTGTGGGAAAAAAAAACTAAACGCAGAGCTCATCTGCTATCTCATTAGGAGCGCTAATCCAGAGGTCTGCCCTTGTTCCTGGAAAAGAAATGGGCAAAAACTGAACTGATTAAACAGCTCAATCAGGGCATCATAGCGCTCCATTTCCTCTGCGATAATAGAATTTTTCAAAAATGTTTCTCTAGAAATTACATTTGATACTGTTCCGCCAGCACGATCCTCGGTGGAAAATGTATCCACAGGCTACACTACCGGATCCTGAACAAGATCCCTATGAGCTGGATCTGGTCGCACTTCACATTGGGCAAAAGATTGGGTACAACCAAGACCGAATGCCAGCTAGCTAAAGGGCTAACTTAAGCAGAGAAAACCCCTCACATTTACAGTTTTGTACAATTTGACTATTTGACACCATCCATAAGCAATAATAATATTCTTTCACTAAGAGAGCATAGAAATCACTTCAGCAAATCTAACAAACTTTTATTGACTGTTGAACATAATAGGGACGTGACATGTTAAACATAAGCAATATTTCTATTCCATAAGAATTATGGGCTCGTATCTAATCTGATATCTGAAATGGCATTGAAATGACCAGATTTCTAAAGATTGTGAATGTATGGTCATGCCATATTTCACATAGTTATGAAATAAAGCAGTCATCATGTCAACATCATGTTGTGTCTCCTACAACCATACATTGTTAATCATTCAGAACAAAGACACAAAGAAATGTAGACCAAGTTTTCTTTAAGGTTTCTTATTTTTTATGTTTATCTATTTATTTATTCTTTGAGGGGGAAACTGACTCATAGCACCTCAAGTTGAACCTTTGCAGTTCTCTAATTACTGCAGAATACTTGCAAAATGTGTTCCCGATTTATTTTGGTTGTTTATTTTTTTTGTCTGACTGTGATTTTTGTTTTTTTTTCCTTCTATTTAGGTCCCCCCTTATCACACATCCCGAACCAGTATATGAACATCAAAGATAGAAAAAAAAGCAAAAATTTCCTTTTTAGAAATTCAATAAATGAGTTCCATAGGAAGTAAAGAGCACATAAATCAATTTGATTTGTTGTCTGTGAATAATTGAGGAAAGATCAAAAGCCATCCAATCACAGTGTGTGATTGTTTAGTATAATGAAAAGGTTTTTGTACCATATCGATCTTGCAGAAAGAGATCGGAACACCAGCCTGGGACGACAGTGGAGCATGCATTTTAAAAATATGCTTGCTGTGTGTTTCTGCACCAACCTGCATGCTCTGGTTCTCCGTTCATTTGAGTGTAGTCCGAATTTCTTTCCTTTCTTCATTCTTTTTTGTTTGAGTTATATTTTGCACTTTCAACGCAAAGTAAATTAGACCTGATTCAGTTCCATATCATTACTTTTTATTTTCATTTTTTTTTTTTTTAAGGGATTAACTGTTGCTTTGTTTCCTATTCTTTTGTTTCAGTAAAGGGACCCGGCAGAAAGTTAAGTCTGCCCACAGATCTTAAGACTGATCTTGGTACGGTAGGCGAAAGCCAGCAGTTTTCACTTGATTTTCTTATTTCTTTTCTTTCTGCTTTTGTACTAGTTTTCAGGCTTATGTTATGTTGCTTTTTTCCCGTCTCACTCACATTTTGCCTGACTCTTTCTCCTGTTCAACCAGACGATTAAAAAATTAGCCTGAAGCCTTCGTCCTCTTGCGCCCCCCCCCCTTTTTTTTTTTTTTTTTTTACAATATAACTAGTTACTTGTCTATTTTTTCTGCATTTTGCAAGTGTTTTTAAAGGTGATTTGTAACTCATGCCCATATTTGAACCGAGGCTTTTCTATTGCTTTATCATAATTGGACCATCATCTGACTTTGTGTAATATTTCCTCCATTAACAGCCTTGCTCTGCAGTATTGGATCACACTCTGCCTTTTTCATTGTAACTGGATCATTTCTCTCTCAAACAGTCTTTCTTCATTTTTGACTGGATCATCTGCATTACAGACTATGAGTGCACCACCACCATGCATCTATGTACCGCTATATGCATATCTCAGGTTTCCCTTTTCTCTTCTGCAGTGTCTCACACGCTGTCCACTTTGAAAACCTCTAACTTGGCATGTGCCTGTGCCTATTTCTGTGACTTTCCTCATCAACTAACTCGTCTTGTCTAGAAGAAGAAACCCTTTGTTGTCAGATAGTTTGATGAATGTTGTTTTAGACATAGTAAAGTATCGTAAGTTAATTTGATTTTCCGTATCACTGCCAGGAAAAAACATATATACATTTAAAGTGTAATGCAATATGTATTATATTTGATTTATAGATGTCTAAGACCTGTTATATTATCATATAGTGTTAACTTTGTGAAATACAAATAAACACTGTTACATAGAATATTTTCTTTATGGCTGAATATATATATATATATATATATGTATGTATATAAGACTTTACCCTACTTTATATTAAACTACAAAAGCTTTAACAAAAATTCAACACCAATAGAAACAGTCTTTTGTATATAGCGCTTTAAAAATTGTTGTGCGTCTATGGTTTTTGTGTCTGTGTGTCCAAGTGCATACGCTAATTGAACATGTGTAAGGGTATTGGGGTGTGGGGGGGGGGGGGGTTG